ATGTGCTAGAGAGACATGCTAAGTACTCTGCATATGCAATCTTTAATTCTCACACTAACCCTACAGAGTTTGGTATAATTGCCTTCATTTTACAAATGAGAATACTGAGTCTAAGATAGAATAAATACTTGGTTCCAGCTAGTTACTAGCAGAGCTGGAATTTGAACCAAGCTCTGTCTCCTCAGGCTATGAATTTTCCATAGATCCTGATACCTCCCTTCCTGTGTTCCACCCTTCCCACCCTAATCAGTGTGATTATAAAATAGTGGAAATTCTGAAGATTCTCCACCCACTCATCTTAAGCAAAACAGAACCTTTAATAGGACCTTTTGGTTAGTACTTGTATGGCATAAATATGTACCCTATCTTGAGATGATACGCCACTGAATTTCCTTCTGAAATATTAATAGCCTCATTTCAGAAAATACATTACTTGTTTACATAGTAAGAAATAATTTTTAAGTGTTCAAACCTTGTAATAGTTGCTCACACCTATAAGTGTGATAAATTTTCTAAGTACTTACACCATAAGAAAACCTGAGAATTCCATTTGGAATAGTTTAAGATGTGTATAATACATGCTTAGTTATACTAGTGCAGCTTAGTTTCACAGTGCTTGTGCTTCCTTTATCATTAATTCTATATTCTTTTTTTCTGATATAATTCTCCATACTATGTTAGTACTTTACTAGCAGCTAACTCATATCTATAAAGAGTGACAGCAGATGAGCAATTCTATCTTAAATCCTTTGTTAGTTTATCTCAGTAGCATAGATTTCTGATTTCTATTTAGAATCTAATTCTTTGCCCTTATTCTCTGGATATGAAGATGAGAGTCTTTGGTTCTTTCATTTCAAACCTATGGATAAGCATAAGTGGTTTGTTAACAGGCCTATTTTTTTTCTTCCCTGCATTTATATAATTGACCTTTGCTTCAAAAAGCATTCAGCAGTCTTTAACAGAGGAGACTATGAAAGGGGGTGTTGTAAAGGCTTTATTCTATAAGTGAAGTCACACAGGGAAAGCTTTATATTTGCTGAGTGATTTAATTCTTATACATGCAGAGATTGGCCATGGGCCATGAGTAACATGGAGGAAAAGCCTACTAGTGCAGCCTCATAATTAAACTTCCCTACTCCATTCTGTATATTTTTTAAAAAAGAGAAAAAAGTATCTCCTTCCCTGTTGTTCTAAATCTACCCAAGAAAAGTGAAGCATGGTGTCTAGACCAGTCAACTGCTTTATCAAGATTCATAAAGTTGTTCATGGATTTTTTTATTTTATTTAAATCATCAGCTAAGGCGCATATACTCCAGGGAGAAAGATGCCTGCTTAAATCAGTCTTCTGAGTGCCCAGACCGAATTATGAAGGGAAAGTCCACTTAAAGGGTAGCATCCACCTTGAGAACACTGCCTATATCTTATATTAGTAATATAGTATTAACAATTAACAATTAATTATTAATATATTATTAATAATATTAATTATTAGTATTAGATTATTAGGTATTCTAGGATAATGTCTCTTTCTTATAGGTGGTAGATTAGGCAAACACTCTCATTAAAAATAACTGTTTATTCTTCTGTATATTGAATAATCTAATGTCTGTAGGGAAATGAGAAGCAAGCATATTTTGGTTAGTATTTTATAAGCTTTGGAAATTGGCTAGTGAACTGTTGTAGTCATTCTCTGAAAGGTACATTATATCCTTTATAATTTTCTGACAGTATAGCAAAACTTAAATTGACTGGTTCCTTCTTGTTGAGTTATAAGATATTCTTGAACTTCATTTTGATGAATACAAATATTCTTTACTAGATCTTTAAGTATCTTGGGTTATTCTTGTGTGAGACTGTATATATGTATGGGGGTGGATTTTTTTATTTTTAATTTTTTGCAAAGTTACTTAAGAGACATGGTTGTTGATGTAAATATCTGTAGCATTTTAAAAAACTGCTCATCTTCTATACTGTGATCAGTACAGATTTTAATTTTAATTAAGCTTTAAGTAAGTATCAAAATATTTAGGCTTGTATCTTCTGAGAACCTTGGACTTTACTAGGCTGCAGTTTCTCTTCAAGCAGTTAGACCTTGGCATTTGTGAAGGAAGGCCTGAAATTTACTGGCAGTGAGAAAAGAGATGGGGGTTTATTCTGGGCAAGGCAGAAACAGCTCACCAGGGTTAGAACCTAAATAAATGGTGAATTGTGGTGCCTGGAAGCTACTTAATGAAGCTTGATACCCAAGTGGGTGTCAAGTTGTTTGGCAGGAAAATTTCTTGCACAAATTTAGAGTCAAACTTAGGGAGGGGTGGGTAATATGGTATAGTGGGGAAGTCTGTCTTTGTATAAATAACTACGAGGTGTGGACAATAACTTGAATCTTTCAGAGTTTCCTCAATAATAAGATGAGGATTATGATCTTCACCTAGTAGAGTTATTTTGAGGATTAGAGGGAATATATACTTATTGACATCCCTCAATAAATGATGGCTCATTGTTGTTACCATCACACCTGCTCTCAGATGTTCCATTTTACATTTTCTGTAAAATTATTTGTTAGTCAAGAAATTGAATAACCCAATGCACTAGGCAGCTTTAAGATAGAAATACAGATTTTGATAGGTTACTTCTCTGGATACAAGACTTTAAGATATGTTAAGTATTTATTAATTATATAATCCTGGCTTGCTTTCCCTTGTCGACTGGTTTTGTTTGAGGAAAACCATAAAAAAACTTCCATGTAGAGCTGTTGCTCAACTCCTTTTTGGCATATCCTGAGATGTTGTGGAGAACCATGATAAGTGGGAGAGAGAATAAACTTCAACTCCAGCTGCTCAAAATATTTTTATAGGGATAGAAGGCAAAAGCCTTATTATTTTGCCCAGGGGATGCTGATGAAGAGAAAGGCATATCTCACAGAATCAAAACAATAATCCTTTGGTTTGTATGCTACAAATATAAGACACAGAGTTGAATGTTACTTTACTTCCATTCTGCAAAGTCTAATAACTCTCAAATTTAGAACTTCTATTTTTACTACAGAAATAGGAATATGGGAAGTAGTAGGGGATTATTTTAACTGATGATATGTGTAAGAGCTGTGTAGGTATTAACAATCTGAGCTTGGGCTCCTGAACTAAAATTAACACCATAGGGGCTCATTATTAGGAGCTGAATCTCTTAAAAAATTATATTGAAAAACAGTTCTACCTTGGATTGTCTTTTATCCAGTATAACTGGTGCCAAAATCTACTCAGATGAAGCCTAAAAATTTGAGATACAGAATGAGCATATAAAGAAGGGCTACACTGTTAGAAAAAAAGGGAAATAACTTTAGTTGTTCTGAGAACCCTGGTAATTAGTGTAGCCCTTCATCTTTCTTTTTCCCTTCCAGTACTTAACTCTAAAACTCAGTTTGTGTATTTATTGAGCATTTATTTGTCAAGTATATATTACAACAAACGTACAACAAACCAGGTATTATACTAGACCCTGAGGATATTAAGATGGCTAAGATATGGTCCCTGGACTCAGTAAGCTTATTAAGTAAGATGCATGAAATGAAAATAGTTAGAGCACACTATCCATAGGCTTGTACTATGTCTTGAGGATAATAATAAAAACAACTGTACAATACAGTCTTTGCCTCAGGTCTTTAACAGTTTAACTAGAGAAACAAGAATTACATATATTAAAGAATATAGAACAGACCATAATTAAGGTTAAAATTTATGGTGCAGAGAATGCAAAGTCAGGAAGCCAAAGATCTCTTTAGACCAGTCAGGGAAAAGTTTCATGGAAAAAGATGAGCCTGAAAGCAGGAAAATTTTTGAGAGGTGGAGGAAGAAAGTCATTGTAAGAGAGATGTTTGTAGAGGAAATAATAATATCAAGAGATGTTTTCAAAAATATCTTTTTAAAAAAATCTTCACCCAAGGATATGTTTTTATTGATTTTGGAGAGAAAGGAAGGGAGGGGGAGAGAGAGAAAAACATTGATGTGGGAAACATCTATCAGTTGCCTCCCATTTGAGCCCAACCAGGGATCAAACCTGAAACCTGGGTATGTGCCCTGGTCAGAAATTGAACTCGTGACCCTTCAGTGCACAGGATGACACTTTAACCAACTGAGCCACACCAGCTAGGGCCCAAGAGATATTTTGAAAGAAAATTTGATAGAAATTGGTAATATATTGGATTTGAGTGAGTAATTGTAAGAGGACTTGGAAATAACAACAGAGGTTTAAGTTTCACTGATTGGAAAGAGGTGATAATTATGTAATGGACATCTAAGAAAATAAAATAGGTTAATAGGAAGACATGGGATATTAAATAAACTATTTTTCTTACTTTAGATTTTTAGTCCTTTTGGGTTGATAATCTAGAATTTTCATATGGATTTAATCCAGAAAGTGATATGTGTCATCATTATAGTCATTTTACATATCTGTGAATTCTACTTTAATGATCAGATATATTTTGATATAGCCTGTACCTAAAGTAGAAAATTATATCAAGTTTCTAGCATCTAAATGGATATTAGTTGACAAATTCATTAAGATCCTGGTCTGCATATTCTTCATCCAGAAGCTAGGTTGGGTGAAGGCTAGGTGGTTTTCCTTTTCATCTCCAGATTGGGCAGTGTGGATGCTGATTGAACTGTGGAATGATTCGGGGATGAGATGTAGCAGTAGTATTAGTTCTATGCCCTGGTGCTTAATAAACAAAGATTTGTAAGCACTAGGACTTACATTCTCCATGGCTCCTTTATCTTTTATTTTAAACTACCCAAGTGCAGGGGATTAAATTTTTACAAATTATTAGTGTTAGTACTATGTGACTTGAATTTATATGGTCATGAAGCTGTTCAGTTTTTATTTTTTTCAAAATAAAAAATCATTACTTTAGTATCTAGTTGATCATCATATGATGGGATCTTAGGCATCAAAAATTTTCAAACTGATTTACTTTTGTTTATTGTCTTTGCTTTTATTTGCAGTTCTGGGAAATGCCAGTGTAAAGTAGGTGTCACCGGCTCTGCATGTGATCAATGCCAAGATGGATATTATGGGTTTAGCAGGAGTGGCTGCTTGCCCTGCCAATGCAATAATCGGTCTGCCAGTTGTGATGCTCTCACAGGTACAAACTTTCCTTACCTTTTTGTGTAATTAGTCGATTGTTGTTTTTATTTTATTTTACTTTTAATTTTTTTACTTATCTTTATTGTTGAAAGTATTAAAGGTGTCCCATTCCCCCCCCCATTAACCCCCTCCACCTCGCTCCCACCCCCTCCCCAGGCCTTTACCCCATTATTGTCTGTGTCCATGGGTTATGCATATG